CAGATTAAGGCTTTAGCTGGGACCCACTTGGGAGTGGAAGAGGTCATCTTAAAGCTTTGCAGCAAGAACACTTTATACAATATATTTGTGGTTCATATAAGTATCATTTTGTGTTATTTTCCCATTCAAAGTCTTGTTTTATTACATGAATCAGCTATTATTTATGAAATTGATAAAATAATTGCACAAATACCCAGAATGTGGAAAATAACAACTTAATTTTGACAGTGTATGACCACATACTGCAACATAGGAAGGTTCTGTTTTGATTTACCCTGAATTTCAAATCTGATAATATATGATTTTCTCACTAAAATAGATTTCTTTATACATACTAAACACACAAGTAATGTAATATGGATGTAGATGCGGGTTGTGCAATAGGTCGCAATTGTTAATAGGTTTGTAAATGTTTTAGGAACACATTTTCCTACGGGACCAATAAAGTAAATTGTATAGTAAATAAGCTTGATGCTACTTTATTGACTCAGCTGGAGGATCTGCCCACAAGACAAAGCTTCGGTCCTAAATGATTGTTACTATAAGTTATCATTTCAAAAAGCTCAGATCTTTCTCTTTGGTGGTTCCAATGTTGATGAGCGGTAATTGCCAATGAGTTTTGGGATCTGATATGCGTTACATACAGTGTGGACTTTCCTGGGACTGTCACCACAGATACTCATAGCTCTTTATACTACAAATACAAATATAAGAGGTCATTACTTTCCGATTTGTTTTAAGTGAACTATACGTTTATTTGTTGGAGTTGCTCACCAGTTTTCATCTCTCTGCAGGTCCTGGAGAGCTTTAAGATCATGGACTACAGTCTCCTGCTGGGGGTTCATGTTTTGGACCGGAAGCTTCTGAGCAGAGGAAGTCGATGTGACAGCAGGAAGGGACAGAAAGTCCTCTACTCCACCGCCCTGGAGTCCATCCAGGGGAACACCAAGGCCTCCGAACCTGTGGCGGATGACGACACGTGAGTAACGTTTTTATTCTGTTCTCTTTGTGGACAACTTTCTTTGTTTTTTGAGGGGTTTCATGGCAGGTAATATAGAGAAATACAGTTTTAAACATCACATTTCAAAGCTTGGTTTCATATTAGAGTTATTTTTGCAGCTATCTCAGAGCCAGATATCTTTATTGCATTGTGAAAAAGCATCAAACATTGTAACATGACTATGTAAATACATGAAATAAAGTGTAAGTTAATCATGGCATAATATACTGAAACGGCTAAACACTTTTTCTTCTTCTGCTTTTTCAAACACAAACAACTTTCCAATGAACAATGACCCAACAACAATACATTGTGAAATGTAGGAAGAACAGTCTAAAGAAAGGTTGATTATAATGATGATGATTTCCAGGCTGATGCCACCAAGAATTAGCTTTACTTTATGTTCAACAGCTTCAACTATTTTTCAAATAATATATAGGAACCATTTTAAAGTAAATAACTGTGTATTAATCATTCAAAAATCTTTTTTCAGATTTGGTGGAATTCCTGCCAAAAATAAAGACGAGAACTTTCTCATCTTTTTAGGAATCATCGACATCCTTCAGTCCTACAGGTGAGATCTTACATGATATCTATATCTATTATTCTCTGATTCTACTGACATCCACATCTCACTTCTAGTTCAGACTTTTTCAGTAAATAAAAATGTATTAAAAAAAAATAAAATGTAGAAATACATTAAAAATGATCACATGCTTTTTAATATTCTGTGTTGATTTATTAGTTAGGAGTGTCATTTAAAAAAGGAATGAATTGAATATATAATCATCCGGTGTTTGTCCATCATTGTCCTTTTAAAAAATTTGATTTTACTTACATTTTTTGTATTATCGATAGTTTTTTAATTTATACATTTATGAATGGATTTTTTATTCTTTATTTTTAAATCTTTAATTATTCTGCCTCTTTGTACAGCTTACTCCGGACGAAATAGTATTTGTATGATTACTATAATCAAACAGACTTTTATTGTGTATTTTCAGGTTCATCAAGAAGGTGGAGCACTCCTGGAAAGCTCTTGTACATGATGGGGTAACCTCCTTCTTACTATGTCCAACTACATAAATACGTATCTGCAAAAGAGTGTGTGTGTGTGTGTGTGTGTGTGTGTGTGTGTGTGTGTGTGTGTGTGTGTGTGTGTGTGTGTGTGTGTGTGTGTGTGTGTGTGTGTGTGTGTGTGTGTGTGTGTGTGTGTGTGTGTGTGTGTGTGTGTGTGTGTGTGTGTGTGTGTGTGTGTGTGTGTGTGTGTGTGTGTGTGTGTGTGTGTGTGTGTGTGTGTGTGTGTGTGTGTGTGTGGTGTGTGTGTGTGTGTGTGTGTGTGTGTGTGTGTGTGTGTGTGTGTGTGTGTGTGTGTGTGTGTGTGCTCTGAAATTGTTCTTTATTTTCAGGACACGGTGTCGGTTCACAGGCCCAGTTTCTATGCGGACAGATTTCTGAAGTTCTTGGGCTCGACTGTATTTAAAAAGATTCACCGTAAGTAAAGACATCAAGATTCAAGGCTTTATTGTCATGTGCACATTAGCTACGGTGTAGATATGGCAAAGAAAAGTCACAGGCTCTTCCAACAGTGCAACATGAATATAGAACAAATAAAACAGATGACTCACACATCCTGCTTCCTACTTCCTGTGATAACAGAAAGATTCTTGCTTTTTGAATCACTCTTTTTGTATGTCCCTCAGCTTTGAGAGGAACATCTTCAAAGAGGAAGAGGACCTCCATGAATGCAGCAAAGTCTGCCTCTCAGGAGTTTCTGTCCCCACACAGGGAGGAGAAGAAGGAGGAGAAGAAGGCCCAAAGTTTGGACAACCTGGATGGAAACTGTAAGCTTGAGTAATGCATCAAATATTATTTTAAAGCAAATATTTATTGTACTATTGTTGGGAGAGGCTTTGCTTGAATCACTGACTGTTTGTTCAATAGTTTACAGTTCCTCCAAGCAGCCGGATCTCCTTCCGAGAGTTTCTTTCAAGGCAAATGATGAAAAGGAAATTGTTAACAGGTACTTTACTTAAGCAGCACTCATAACTGAACTCTGTGGTTTTAAAAAGTCTGCCTTCCCCAATTGATCACTTAAAACACTATGTAAATACACTTAACTGAGCAGAACCAATACAAAAGATGTGAAATACAAAATAAAATCAGTTCTGTATTTATTTTACAGTATGGAGGTTTTTTTGCGACACTGTTATCAAAATTAACATGGAGAATCTGAACATGTGTGAGCTTTAAATATTAGAAAAACTTTAGTATTCTGAAATGTAAGTTTATTTAATTCCTTGTTTTAGTTTCAGAGTGACTTAAGTTGAGAGTTGTTGAAAATCACATTGACATCAACACTTTTTAATTAACAAAATTACCTCTATTTACACTTTTCTGATGTAAAACTGTCATCAAAAGAAGAGCTATGAGCAACATTTTGTGTGCTCACTTACATCATTACATTACACAACAACACATTCTCCTGTATTTTTCCTTAGCAGTGAAGAGCGCCGAGCCTCCAGTTCGACCATCGCTCTGGACGATCCTCTGCCGTCTCTCAGCAGGAGTCAGTCGGACTCTGAACTGGACGTCTACTTGGTATGACATTTTTATTTAGTACCTACATTTTGCGTGAAAAACATTTCAGTTATAGGGGATTGAAATAAATACCAAAACAAAAATTCTGCTGACTTTCTGACCCTAATCTAAAAGCCTGTATTTCTGCTTCTGCATCAACAAACGGTGCTCACTATGACTCAGATGTGCCTAAGCAGAAGACACTGAATAATCTAAATAGAAACATAGACCAAGAGACGTTACTATTCATCACCTGCTTACATATTCTGGCCAATCATTTGCTGCTTTTCCAACATGCAATTTCTTACATTTTCCTCAAGCTTTCTTCTCCCATGGTGGTTGAGCCCCAGAGGCCCCTGTGACATCTGTACAACATGACTCAGCCAAACACTTCTCTTACATAACCACAAATCCTTGTTCAGGCTTATGAAGCTGTTCTTCAGCCCACATTAAACATTCTGTTAGGCGCTTGGAAGCCTGGAGACGTTGGACTTAATCGGATCTTAAATCCTCTGACAGAAGACAGAGGGATTCAAAACTATAGCGAGGGTCAAAAGGAAATATATAGGCTTTGGATTTCTCTGACAGCCATTTTGCCCTATTTTCTTTAACTGGTTGCTCAGAGACATGATGTGCACTTTCCAAGATGTTCTACCTAAAAATATCCATAATATTGTTTTCGCAGGCTTTACAGAATGAATTACTTCTGTACACACTTCACATTACTGCTGACCATTATCCAAAGCTGATTTAGTGTTTTAAATATTGGCATATGTGCTTCCTTCTTTACAGGGGGCCACTGATTTTCAGTCATTTCAGTAAGGTATGAAAATCATTATGTAGATACATAAAATTGCCTGAGCATTATAATATATACTATTTTCCCTTTTTAAAGACAGCCTATAGGGAACATTATTTGTGAACCATGTATCACCCGAAGGGTACAAAAGAAAGGCATTCAAATAAATGTATGTCTTGCGCTTGTTCTGAATAATTTAGCAACAAGTCAATTTACAATTAACATGAATTTCCTACCAAAATGTCACTTTAACATTTTATCCTATCAGACATGTTTGCAAAATTGTCGTAATTAGCCCAAAAGGTTTTTTCTGAGGTCATAGTGACCCTGGCCTTACGTTCATATGTACGAGATCTTGGTGAAGAACTTAATTTCATGAGCAGAGACAGGCCTGTGGAATATAAAGAGGAAACACTGCAGGATGTTTTGAAAAGTGGTCAGCAGTAATGTCGCACAAATTGGGAAAAGGGAGATTTTCAACACACTGAATATAACAACCTTACAAAAGTTAAAAAAAGGCAACAATTGGAAAAGGGCAATTTGGGAAGGTATCCATTTCAAGAAGAAACAGGCTCCACAGTCAATCAAAACATTATGATTCTATATACAACAAGGAATTAATTGAAAAACACCTAATTATCCCACAAGTAGGCCATATAAAAACACAACGAAATCAATAAACTAATACAAAATAAGGGTATCCCTAATATATTGAGGTGTAAGCATACAGACATGCATACCCAGGTTTTAAGAACAGGCCAGACTAAATCTAGCTACTAAATTTAAGACCAGAACATGATCCGAGGCCCAAAGCTATATTTCTGCTTTAATTCATCTACTAGTTTTAATTCATCTATTAGCTTTCTTTTTAATGACTGATTTTAAATGCCATTTTCTTAATCTCTTTCATTTTTTGTAAAGCACTTTGAATTGCCTTGTGTTGAAAAGTGCTATATAAATAAACTTGCCTTGCCTTGCCTTGCCTTACTATATAACTGACCATTAGCATACCAGGCTAACACCATGTTTTCACTTACACACAGACGTCTGTGTCAAGACAGAGGGGGGGATTTATTTTTTAATAACTAAACTTCTCATCAATAAACACAGGTGACAAAACATTTTGACAAGTGAAGGTGATTTGGGGTAGTGGGGAAGCCTCTTGTGGCCAACGGAAGTACAATGAACTATTATGATAGTACAACTTAGTACAACTATAATAATAATACTAATAACAATAAACAGGACACAAAAATAATTTGACCATTTTTCACCAACCCTTTTGTCTTATTTGCCTCTCAGGGCTTCTGTAGATTTGTATGATTTTGCAGCCAAGTTATTTAATAGAAGAGAATAGAATATATCTTTATTGTCTTCCAAGAACATTTCTTTGGCAACTCTCACTGCAGTAAAAAATAGACACAATAAATAAATAAGAGTGGTGAAAGCAGAGGTAGTAGCGATGACAATGCAACGAGATAAAATGAAATGTCAATGTGCATATTTACACTTACAGTAAAAATATATATTAGTAAAATTACAATAGCCATAAGTATGTCTAAATAGTAGTGATGCAGTAAAGCACTGGGTGTAGGTGTGCAACCACAGTGACATGCAAATGATAAAAACGAATTGCATATAGCAAGATTACAAAAGTTAAACCGCAACATTTGGACAAGACCAAATTGGGAAAACATAAATTGAAAGAAGAAAAACCCCATTATCTCACAAGTAGGTCACTGGCATAAAAACGCACAATAATCACAGCAGTGGAAGCAGATAGTGAGCAGCTCCAATCCCAGTTGGGTGCAAGTGTGGAACTAGAAAAGAGATATTAATACGTTTTCACCTGCCTCTATGGGCTTCTGTACAAAAAACAAGCAAACGGGAAGTTATAATCTTATTATTGTACATTTGGTTATGCGTACCATGAGCGGGACAAATAAAAATGAAATGAAATAATGTAACTTTTGAACCCTAACCTTTTGCCCGGTATGCGTGTTCAGTCGTCCTTCGATGACTAGTTTGTAAATGTTCAACTCTAACTTAGTTCGAAAATGAGGAAAATAATCTTGTTTTTCTTTTTCTTGTAGTAAGGATCAATCTGGACTTCTGAATGTTGACCACCCAGTCCTACATCAGGACCTCACAACAGTGTAAATGTGTCACCAACTCTGTGCCTTTCCTTAGTCAAAGTTGAAGTGCCTAATCGCTGGCTCTTTTGTAGGCATCCCCTACTTTACAGATACAGTCACTGATCCACTGTGTCACTGCTAAACACTATGAAGCTGTTTCTACTCCTGTTATTTGCACTCTGCTGCTAATTTTACAACAGTGCTAACGAGAAAATTGACTTTGACTTCTACTTTTGGACCTCTGAATTTCTGTGCAAATCTTTGAATATTCTCAGCGGCTGGATCCCTGAGGAAATAGATTTTCTTAAAAATCAAATGCAGGGAAAATTATTATGTTATTTTCAAATTATATTATTATAAAGAGCCGTGTTGTCTAGAATCTGAAAGAAAAATGAATCTATTGATACATTCAAATGTGTGTTATAGTGTTTATACCCTTATAAACATCATCTATATGTGATTTTAAAATCCCAATTTGCTTAGGTCAATATTAGCCTATATACTTATTAATATATTCTATATGTTGTGTGTATTCTTTTCTTCAAATATGCAGAATCTGCTGCCATGTTGACAAACAAGTATTTGCTTATTTTGTGGTTAGAACAAGATGTTTTAATTTAATATTTTATTACTAGCTTTACCTTTCCCTGTGTATTTTATCCTCTGGAGAATGTGTTCATCTCCACTGGGATTTATTCCATCCTGGAAGTAAATAAGTAGCCTATGTTATTTGTTTTGTCATCTTTTTGCTTTTAAAAGAGTGATTTTATGTGATTTATAGGACTACAACTGTATTATAGCAATACTTCCAACTTGTGTTTGTGAAATAAATCCAATGTCCTAAAAAAGTCACTGTCTGTTCCAAATTATAATTTAGTATTTGATTCAACCTGGGGCCTGTACTACGAAGCTGGTTCAACCTAACCTGGATATGTTTGGGTTAGCCGGTTGGCCTAATCCAAAACATACGCGCTCTCGCTAAACTGTACTACGACGCGGGTTATCAAGTGGATCGCTCAAGCCAGCCGTGTCCTATCTAGTTAGGTGCGCGTTCACATGAAAAGGGTGGTATTTGGAGCATTCGACCAATCACAAACATGGAGAAGCATACTGAGGGAGCGCAGCGTCATACTTCCTGAATGAAAAGTCAACTATAATATTAGACATATGAAGAAGTTAAACTTTAAACATCCATGACTTAAACACTTTATCCAGGATAAAAGCCACATAGCTGCACCTGCGAGGTGAATACAGCTGGTAACAGAAAAAGTGTTTGAATGCATACATTAACAGGTTTATGATATCACTGCCCCGTCTAAAACACGAGTGGATCTGACTTTAATTAGCCTACATTTGTCTCGAGTGTTTCGTCAACTTAATGTGTTGCTTAAAATAATACTTCTGCATACAGTATGTGACACTGTGAGTGTTGCACGGCCAGATACGGCTCAAGAAGCTGACTCAGAAAAGGAAATATATGAAACATTATGATGTGATGTGATATGATGATAATGGGACACATCGACGTCTGCACTCACAGTGCATGCCGCGGACTGTAGGCTACGTAATGTTAATTTGATCCGGTTACTTATGTTGTGGCATATCTAAGTAAGCTTTCTTAACGCTAAGCAGATTGCTCTGAAGATGGGAGGTGATATTCTATTCATGTTCACGTTCACACAGACGGTGATTTGAACTGTATTTCCTTTATCCTGTAATAGGACTTGATCGCTTTAAACTCTGCACACTTTTGTTATCAGCTGTTCCACCATGGTTTCTACCTCAACCTGTAATAGACTTATCCTTATTGAAACGGTTACATTCAATGAAAAATAAAATCAATGTGCAGGCTTACGTGAAAACTGTTCTACATGAACAATATGGGCAGGTTATACATTAAATAAATCAACAGTAGTGGCGATATGCTCCAAGTGGAAGCGATTCGCCATTAAAGCGAAGAAGAAGAAGAAGAAGAAACAGTTGATCTCTTATCCTGGAACATATCTTGCTTCGGGGCACAGACTAGGTTCCAGGATAAGTCACCATGGAGATCTAGCGAAACGAAAATCCTGCTTCGTAGTATACCCCAGCTGGTCCGTTTAGCAAGATAACTTCTGGGATTTCCGGTACTACGAAGCTGGTTCATTTTTTAGCGGGCTAGATCTCCATAGTGACTTATCCTGGAACCTAGTCTGTGCTCCGAAGCAGGATAGGTTCCAGGATAAGAGATCAACTCAGCGAAAGCACCACGCCTGCTGACCAATCAGAGCTCAGTGTGCGGAGGAAATACAGTTTAAATTGCCGTTGCAGGAAAGACGGCCGGCCAAAATCACCGACTGTGTGAACGTGACAATGAATAGAACATCACCTCCCATCTTCAGAGTAATCTGACTATTATAACTATACTATTATGATAAGAAAGCTTACTTAAATATCTGCCACAACATAAGTAACCGGATCAAAGTAACATTAAGTAGGCCTATCGATATAGAACTGGGGTTACGTAATGTAACCCCGCTTCTATGAGTATAGGAGCAGCCCTCTAAGGTTCGGGCCCCACTGGTTCCGCGAATAGCTGAAGAAAAGCTGTTGGAGTGGATTGTAGGGCCTACTTCCTATTTATACGGAAGTGAGCCTGGAGGTGGGGCCCACGTCATAGGTGGGCGTGGAATAAATCTGTCAGTGCTGCACACGTGCAGTGGGGATTACCCAATAGCGATAGCCTTAGAGGGCGAAGCCTTATACGATATAGAACTACGACAGATGTGTAATATTTAATGCAGCCAAACCATTTATTACAATGGTTTGTCAAGCTAAGCACATGGTGTAGTCCCAAACGATAGCTGAGGATTCTGGGTACTGTAGTGTCTTCTGCCATCCAAAAACTCCGAACGCATATTCGTTTCTCTGAATCGAAGGGGGAAAATACAAAAGCATTGTACACAATTTAAACCAATAAATGTTGTGTAATTAACAAGGACAATTTGGTGTTTTTGAGTTGAGTAGTTCAGATATCACTCTAAAATAAATCGACAGTAAGGAGAATACTTACTTCCGGGTGTAAAATTCTCCGTTATCCAATGGGAATGGACGCTCGTAATACAATAAAGGGGACATGATCATTATCTTTTAAATAACGTTAACTAAAGGGAACAATCTATTTGACACAGCTGAAGCTCTGGCCTTCCTTAAAAACGAACTAATTTAATAAAAATCACAGTTGTATTATGTATTGTATTATGCGTTATAATATTGCAATACAAACCCATGATGTAATGACAGAAATTAAGAATAATTTAGTCATTGAATGCTCATTTCAGTAGATTTAATCTAACAAAACAAACATATTGGAAATGGCCTAAACACTGCAACCTCTTAACATTCTGTTGAAATAGTCAATTACTAGCCATACCTTACACATTGCCGTTTTAAATCATTAATATGTGGATGACAGTTGAACTGGATGATGTAACATGTGTGCCACCTGCTGGAAAGAAGACGTATCGCTCTGTTGGCGTCTTTTGGACAACAAAAACAGAGTGAAGCTCTAATTTAATAAACAATCTTTGAGTACAGACACCGTCCTGCAGAGAGCACACAATCCAACAGCACGTTTTTGGTCTAGCTCACTTTACAACACGTTTGCATTAAGACACTAAGACTAGCTGCTCCATTGTAAAGGTCAGTCCACCTTAAATGAGCAGTGGGTGAAAGGCAGGAAACAGGAACTTGGTCCTGAGTAACGATTATTAAACAAGAAAGTTGTCGAGTCAAGGGGTCAAAGAAATTAACATTTGTGATTATTAGCGAATCGGTTGCAGGTGGGTGAAATCAGGCTTAGGGAGTAACGTAATACATGTAACGGCATTAGGTCATCAGGATACAAAATAGGCAAATGTATTCCCTTACAGTTGCAGCAGCAAAAACATCAGATAACAGGTACATTTATGTAAAACAGGGCTCATTAACAGGATAGAAATGATACAAAACATTTAGAAATAAAGACAATACATCAAATCATCCTATATCTCCATATGGAAAGTTGGAGCCCTCAATCCACAATAAAATGGTTCATCAGTGGTTAACGTATAAATCAGAAAATCAGTATGACAAAAACATTAAATATATTTTCCACTTATGTTGATAAAGATGGAATTCATTTAAGCCTTATATGAATATTGTGCAACAATGTTGATCCAGTCAGGCAGATTTTTCTCATGTGTGAACTGTCATAAGACTTATTCATTGTCCTCTCCATCAGCTTCTGTTTCCATATGTTCAGCTGAGCTGCTTATTGGAGGCTCTACCTATCAGTTATCCTCAGTTTGAATTTCATTAGGCTGTGAGGACTGACGACCTGAATATTTCCTCTCCTGTGTGGACTCTCATGTGTACCTTTAAACTTCCACTCTGTGAAAAAGCTTTCTTACAGACTGAGCAGCTGTGTGCTTTATCTCCTGTGTGGATTCTCAGGTGTTGCTTTAAACTTCCACTCTGTGAAAAAGCTTTCTTACAGACTGAGCAGCTGTGTGCTTTCTCTCCTGTGTGGACTCTCACGTGTTCCTTTAAACTTCCACTCTGTGAAAAAGCTTTCTTACAGACTAAGCAGCTGTGTGCTTTCTCTCCTGTGTGGACTCTCATGTGTCTCTTTAAACTTCCACTCTGTGAAAAAGCTTTCTTACAGACTGAGCAGCTGTGTGATTTCTCTCCTGTGTGGACTCTCATGTGTCTCTTTAAATCTGTATTCTGTGAAAAAGCTTTCTTACAGACTGAGCAGCTGTTTAGTTTCTCTCCTGTGTGGATTATCATATGTTTCTTACAGAGTGAGCAGCTGTTTAGTTTCTCTCCTGTGTGGCTGTTTAGTTTCTCTCCTGTGTGGATTCTCATGTGTGTTATTACATTTCCACTATGTGAAAACACTTTCTCACAGACTGAGCAGCTAAAAGGTTTCTCTCCTGTGTGGACTCTCATGTGTTCCTTTAAATGTCCATTCCGTGAAAAAGCTTTCTCACAAACTGAGCAGCTAAAGGGTTTCTCTCCTGTGTGGACTCTCATGTGTTCCTTTAAATGTCCACTCAGTGAAAAAGCTTTCTCACAAACTGAGCAGCTAAAGGGTTTCTCTCCTGTGTGGACTCTCACGTGTGCCTTTAAATGTCCACTCAGTGAAAAAGCTTTCTCACAGACTGAGCAGCTAAATGGTTTCTTTTCAGTACTACGTAGTGGAGCACTGACAGATTCATGTCTATTTTTCAGTGAGTTTGAGCCTGATGCAGGTTCTTTGGTCTCCTTCCAATCAGCACTGTCTTCAGTGTCAGGTTCAGAAGAGTCTTCAGTGTCCGGTTCACAAGAGTCTCCAGTGTTGTCCTCAGTCTTTGGTTGTAAACTGCTCTCTGGATCTGAGTTCCTGGCTGGTTCTGGTCCTCGAAAGTCATCTCCATCAGCTTCTTTTTCCATGTGTTCAGTTTGTCTTTGATGAGGCTGTGAGAACTGAGGTTTCTCTTCATCATCTTCACTCTTCACAGGGTCAGGAGTGAAAGTGGACTTGGTGATATCAGTCTCCTCCAGCTCCTGAAGCTGCTCTCCCTCCTGACTGATCCTGAGTTCCTCCTGTTCCTGCTTAATGTGTGGGGGGGGCTCTGGGTCCTCCTGGTCCAGACTGGTGCTCCACTCCTGCTGGTCAGGGAGAACCTCTTTAAACCATCACCAGCTGCTGGACGTCTGCAGGAAACAGGAAACAGTGTCAGAAACAAATGTTAAGTGTTAGCATTTAAAATTCTAATCACCATTAAACTGGGAGACATTTTGCAGCCCTAATTAATGCCTTTATTTGTATACTTTAATATTATCTTTCTTAGTCCCACCTATTGTGTATTTCTGTTGGCCTATTTTGTGAAATACAATTTTATTTCAACATCTCGCGTTTGTGTTATGTTTCCACCCTTGAAGCTCACTAGACTGTAGAAATTCTGTTTGTTCACTCTAAAGACGGCGGATCGCTTCCCTGATTCCCTGGATGTTATCACGGAGAACTTTACGGTGACGTTTGGCACCTCCTTTGCCGAGTTAAACGTTTTAAATATGTAAACACTCAAAAGTTATTCTTTGAATTTACTTGATTAAATCATGGACAGTATTTCCACATGATGAAATGGCTTTCTTTCAGCTTTAAGCAATTACGTTGACCCAACCCAGATCAATTAAGTTGGTAACAAACCTTATAAATAAGTAGTATCAATTATAATAGATTACATTGACCAAACCCAATTAAATTAAGTTGGTAACAAACCTTATAAATAAGTAGTATCAATCCTAATAGATTACGTTGACCCAACCAAGGTAAATTAAGTTGGACCAATCAAATTGCTTAATCTTGAAAGAAAGTGATTTAATCATGTGGAAATATTGTCCATGATTTAATTACGTTCATTCAAAGAGTTATTGTTTTGAGTGCAGAGCTGCAGGAACTCCTGTTTCCAGGGTTCCTCAAGGGGAAGAAAATCAGGTGCTGGAATGTGTTCACCAGGACGACTGGTTCACTTCCACCTGAAGGATGCATACTTCCACGTACCCATCATCCCGAAACACAGGAAATTCCTGCGTTTCTTATTTCAGGGAATATCAGACCAGACAATCGTCTGCCGTTCGGATATTTCCTGGCTCCTCGCAATTTTGTGTAGAGAAGGCTGGAACCACTACACAGAGGAGGGATGAGAGTGTGTTTTTCATGGACGACCTGCCATTTGCTGGCTCGCTCCAGGTAGGAAGTCGCTTTACAGACGTTACATTTCGTATCGCATCTGTCAAAGCCTGGATTTCATAATGAAGTGGAAGAAAAGCTGTCCTTTTCCCCCTCAGATATTCATTTATCTGATAATGGAATTAAACTCAGCCAGCAGAGCGCAGCTCTCGCGGCAGTGAGTGGAGAAACTGACAGCTCTCCTCTGGCGTGTCACAAACCCGCACAGCCCTCTTCGTGACGCAGCTGTTCAGCGTTGGCGTCAGCTGGTCACGTGGGGATCCCCCTGGGTCTCCCCCACAGGTGGAGTCTCCAGAGGTGGGTCATTCGCTGCAGAAGCATAAGGTTTTAACCTATTGGTTTATAAACCAGCGGCATTCCTCTGTCCCAGATATGCCTCCTACACAAGGTCATAATAAATCCACGAGCACCATTATAACGCCTCGTGTGGACAGCACTGCACACACCACTACTCATCCCCTGGGCGTACGCGCCTCATGATGAGAGCCAGAGTGAAATGCAGCGTGTGGAGACTCCCTCGCAGCCCTTTCGCCTCAAGAAGCGCGAGCAGCGAGGGCGTGGCTCGTCACCATGACGACCATTACAGCATATCACAGAGAAGCCTCCTCCCCCCCCCCGCAGTTCCATGGGATACAAGACTCCTGTCTTCCCAGGAACAGTGTCTTGCGCTCCATTTAGCGCTGCAGGAACTCCTGTTGAAAAAGGCATTTTTTTTCAAAAGGGAGGAAAATCAGGAATTTGTACTCGTTATTTTCTAAATCCCGGAAAAAAAACGGGGGAGTGAGACCCATCCTTGATCTGTCAGTGCTGACGATCAAACAGATGCTGGAATGTGTTCACCAGGACGACTGGTTCACTTTCATAAACCTGAAGCACGCACATACTTCCATACCCATCATCCTGAAACTCAGGAAATCCCTAAGTTTCTCTTTTCAGGGAATATCAGATCAGACAATCGTCTGTCGTTCGGATATGTCCTGGCCCCTTGCATTTTTTCAAAGTGTGTAGAAGGCTGGAGCCACAAAACAGAGGAGGGATGAGAATGTGGTTTTATCTGGACGACCTGCTATTGCTGGCTCGCTCCAGGGAGGAAGTCGCTTTACAGACGTTACATCTCGTATCGCATCTGTCAAAGCCCGGGTTTTCATAATGAATTTGAAGAAGTGCTGTCCTCTTCCCTCTCAGATATCCATTTATCTGGGAGTGGAATTAAACTCAGCCAGCAGAGCACGGCTCTCGCGGCAGCGAGTGGAGAAACTGACAGCTCCCTTTCCGGCGTGTTACATCCCGCAGGCCCTCTCCGTGATACAGCTGCTCAGCATGAAGTCAGCTGGTCACAGGAGGAGTCTCCAGAGGTGGTTCATTCGCCCGCGCATCGACCCCGTGTGTCAGAGGTAAATGTGCTGGAGCTGTTCTCCGGTTTGGGAAGTATTCCAGCACTTCGCCCCGTTGCTGTACAATCAAACATGTGTTGATTTGCACAGACAACAGGCCATGGCAGCCTACCTCAATCGCCAGAGAGGAGTACGATCTGCGCAGCTTCTGAACGCAGGCGGCTGCTGTTCTGGGCGCGCACACACGTTGCTCTCCATCAGAGCAATGTATATTTCCGGCGAATTGAACAGAGGGGCTCGCGGAACGCAGCCGTTTTATGCGAGGAGTACGGAGACTCAGACCTGTGTCACGCACACTGGCGGGTCAAGCGCACTGGCGCCTCAGTGGGATTTGGCTTTGGTGTTACGCGCACTAAAGCAAAGCCCCATTTGAACCAGGTTCCCCTTAAACTGACATCAGCCAAAGTAGGCTATTACTTTTGGCTCTAATAGCAGCGAAAAGGGTGAGTGATTTGTCTGCTCTCTCTGTGGCTCCGTCATGTCTCCGGATCCAAGGAGATGGCAGTTCAGCTGTTTTATGCCCTAACCCGGCTTCATGCCTAAGGTCATCACAACTCTTTTAGGTCAAGAGTGATCACCCTGGCTGGCTTATTCCCTCCTCCTCACAGGTCGGAGCAATAAGCCACATCTCATCTCCTCTGTCCTGTGCGCGCTGTCCTGCTATGTGGCGCGCACGGCTGCCTTGCGCCATTCTCAGCGCCTGTTTGTGCATTATAGAAAGCGCTTGTTAGGGCAGCCTCAATCTGCACAGCGGCTGTCACACTGGCTGTGTGAAGCTGTGTCACAGGCATATTACATTACATTGCATTTAGCTGACGCTTTTATCCAAAGCGACTTACAATAAGTGCGTTCGACCAACAAAATACAAACTTGAAGAAAACAGAATCATATAAGTACATCAGGTTTCATAGAGCCAAAACATTTCAAGTGCTACTCAACTGGCTTTAGATAAGCCAGTCCTTTATTAGTATATAAGTGCTTTGTTAGTAATTCTATCGCTCGAAGTGGAGTCGAAAGAGATGAGTTTTCAGTATGCGCCGGAAGGTGTGTAAGCTTTCTGCTGTCCTGATTTCAATGGGGAGCTCATTCCACCATTTTGGAGCCAGGATAGCAAACCCACGTGTTTTTGCTGATGGGAACTTGGGTCTCCCTCGCAGTGAGGGTGCAGCGAGCTGTTTGGCTGATGCAGAGCGGAGTGCACGTGCTTTTGAGGAATTGAGGGAAAATTGAAGTAACTTGAAAGTTTGATACAGCGTATTTTTAGTATATTCATTTTAATGTCACCCATATATAAGAGGTGTGTTGCATCATGTTATCACTAATATATGTGTGGTTTTATACATTCCTGTGTGTTAATAGTTGAAGGAACAAAGTGCATTTTTCCTCTTAAATATAGAGGTTTTTTATAGATTCCTGAAAAAATGTTCCCTTTTTCTTAAAAGTAGATTAACGCAATAGTCTTTTTCTTCCACTTTTATGTGTAATCAAAAGGGTGGTTTTTTGGCTATCTGTAAGTAGGTAAAATGCAGAATTACTTGTGATTTCTGTTTTGAGTGAAAAGATTACCCGTTAAGTGTTAGTTAATGAGAGAAATGTATGTGCGTTCATTTGAAGACTCCTACAGAGCAGGAGACGATTGGGTCACACACAATTAGAGAGACAATGGTCCTTCTGATTCTGGGTGAGCTAACTTCGGAGTGGAAGGGAAGTTCAGAGATGGCCTTAGGGTATGGGAACAGTTAAGCTTTGTTGGTTAGCTGGTCCTGAGGAGGTCATGAGATGATGACTGTTAAACCCCAACAAGTATGGCTTTCATAAAGAAAAACATATAACTGTTGTGTGATAAGCTACATGATAAGATGAGTGTGCGTTCTGTTAAAGAGTCCTCTGTCTGTGAAAATTATATGACTCCAAAGCATGACTGTGGGACTGCCTAAGGGTAGACACATACACACACACACTGTAGGGAGATGGAATCAACAAACTGCTGACTCATTGCCTAGGGTTCGCCCAGAAGTAAAACCGGCCAAACTCCTCCCCGCTTATGTGTATAAATACTGTAACATTCTTATGCTCTGTGCTCTCTTCCTGACTGGCTGTCGTGGTACGTATATCACACGGTGGTAGGAATTGAGCCCGGAGTACTGTTGCAGAGTGCTCTGTATGGTGTATTGTGTTGTGTTTTACCATTAAAGCAGATTATTGTTTAACCCTTATCCCGGTTGCTTTGAGTTTTCCTTCTTTTA